TCGTGTGTGTGTGTGTGTGTGTGTGTGTGTGTGTGTGTGTGTGTGTGTGTGTGTGTCGCAGCGAGTTGGAGACCGGGACCCGAGGGGTGTCACACAGCATGACTTGGAGTTCAGGGTTGTGTATGTGTCACACTGAGTAAGCTGCCCCTTTAAGACACTTTGATCAGGGGCATACACCAAGAGCAGGTAGAGCTCCCCCATGACTGCGTGGGGGGTTATGTGATGAAAACCTGCCCGGACCTCCCAGCCAGAGACGGGGCAGCCACCCAGCAAGCCTCAGCGTCCCCAAGAAAGAAGCCAAGCTGGGACACAATGGGGAAACCCCCTGTCGTATTTGTCCTGGCAGGGTCTTTGCGTACGACAAGCGGGAGGAGGTGAATATCAACAGGAATCGGCCAGGCTCAGAAGGGTCTCCCCCATATTGATTAAGGAGGGAAGTTTGCTCAGATATATCTTAGCGGCTCCGCCGCCTGGAGACGGGAGCCAGGAGGATCACGGGACGTGGCACAAGGAGGCCTCGTGGGGCTTACGCTGGGGCTTCTACAGCGCCAGCTCGTGACCCATCACGCTCCCGGGGCGGCGCTTTTATCCTCCGCCGGGACACCATCTTGTGACGTGTCACTCCTAACCGGGGATCCCTACGCCACCGCCACGGCTCTCCGAGGGACTATTTTACCCCTCCTCGTTAGCAGAGGCGAAGGCTGAGCGGTTGTAGAGGACATGGCCCTTATGGGACAGGCTCAGCCCCCTTCTGAGGAGGTGGGATGCCCTCTTATGACTCAGCACTCCCCACGAGGTATCCCTGCCCCATCAGCACAGTTATCAGAGGGACTATTTCACCGCACCCCATTAACAGAAGCAACACAAGCTGGGCCCCGGCGAAGAACTTGACCCTCATGCTACAGGCTCAGGCCTGAGCTTCCCTGACTTCTGGGACGCCATCTTGTGACTCATCACTTCCCACGAGTATTCCTACGCCACCAAGAGGACACCCAAGGGACTATTTATCCCCTCCCCATTAGCAGGAGCAAAGCAGTGGCAGCTGGGCGCCCCACTGGACTCATGGGGGTCTCGCCAGGGACTTCCATAGGGGTAGGATCAGCCCCTCAGCCAAGGCCTGAGCTGTCCAGGGGTCTCTCTGCTTTCCCCCCACCCCCAGATAAAATAAAGGGGACTTAGCTCAAAAAGCAGGGGCCATGCAGCCCCTGCTGCCCAGAGCAGCTCCCCCTACCTTGCAGGGGCGCCCGTCCACGGTCTGCTCCTCGAACTCTTCCCCGATCTTGAAGTTGATCTCGGTGGTGCGCACCGTGGTGGAGGTCTTGATATAGAAGGTCTCGCCGTCTTGCTTGATCTCCACGGCCGGCTTGGAAGCCGCGGCCACCGCGATCTTCCTCAGCATCACGTTGACGCCTGCAAACAAGACGGCGTCAGGCCCCCCTTGTCCAGGGCCTTACCAGGAAAGTTGGACAGGTCCGCCCACCAAGGGCGGGCTCCCAGCTTCACATCTTTCAGGCATAGCAGAGATAAGTTGGGCTAGGGGGTCAAAGCACTGGACTGGGACTCAGGACATGAGTGTTCAGTTCCCACTACTGCCACCAACTAACGCTGAGCAACTTGCTCCGTGCCTCAGTTTCCCCCATCTGTAAAAATAAGACTCATAATTCTTCCTTGTTTGTTAAGACTGAACTCCTTGGGGCAGGAGCCGTCTTTGTCTGTGCAGCCCCTGGCATGATGGTCTCACTTGGGGCTTCTAGGAGCAACTGTAATACAAATAGCAAGTGGGGACAGAACTCAAATGCTCCTGAGACACCTGCACTAAAGGAGAATCCCCAGTAGCGGTAGAGGGTTTATGAGACAATGTTGATCAGTCCCAGTTCTCTCCAATAGGGGACAATGGCAACATACACAACAGCAGTTGTGTGACCGTAGAAATCTGAGGAAAGGTGGCATGGGGTGGGGTGGGGGTGGAAATGTGGTGGGAGACAGAATTCTTGCCGCCACGTTACTTAATCTGCACAAGAGCTGGAGAGGGGGAAACGTGAGAAGACTCCCGTTCTGACAAAGACAACAAGGGGGATCTAGTCCTAGACAGAGAGATGTCACCTTCCTCTGGGGACACCCTGCACCGTGGGAGAATGAGGGCTTTGTTAGCCCGCCGGGCAGAGCTGGCAGTGGGAACCCAGGCAGCTCCTCTCTGCAGCTTGCAGGACGCCGGGGAACGTGTGCGGTAGCCCGGGACTGTGCTGCAGATCGAGGGGTTAGTAACGGATCGGTGCTGGGGTTCTCTTTGTTTGCCTAACAATCCACTAGCCAGTGATTCAAACTTCTATTAGCCATTCCTAAAACAGAAGCTAAGGCAGAGGTGGGCCACATCTGGCCCGCAGGACCGTCCTGCCCGGCCCTTGAGCTCCTGGGGGGAGACTAGCCCCCGGCCCCTCCCCTGCTGTCCCCCCTCCCCTGCAGCCACACACCGTGCGGGCAGCACGGCTGGCTCCGGCCGGGCGGTGGGGCTGTGAGCTCCTGCTGCTCTGAGCTGCATGGTAAGGGGGCAGGGGGTCGGGAGCAAGGGGGTTGGATAAGGGACAGGGGATCCCGGGGGGGCAGTCAAGGGACAGGGAGCAGGGGGCGGTTGGATAGATGTGGGAGTCCCGGGGGGGGGGCCTGTCAGGGGGCAGGGGTGTGGATAGGGGTTGGGGCAGTCAGGGGATGGGGAACAGGGGGAGTTGGATAGGTGTGGGGTCCCGGGGGGCCTGTCAGGGGGTGGGGGTGTGGATAGGGGGCAGGGCAGTCGGGACAGGGAGCAGGAGCGTTGGATAGGGGGTGGGGTCCTGGGGGGGCCGGTTTGGGGTATGGGGTCCCAGGAGGGGGCAGTAAGGGGACAAGGATCGGGGGGGTTGGATGGGTTGGTGGTTCTGAGGGGGGCAGTCAGGGGGCGGGGGCCAGGCTGTTTGGGGAGGCACAGCCTTCTCTACCGGGTCCTCCATACAGTTTCGCACCCCGATGTGGCCCTCGGGCCAAAAAGTTTGCCCACCCCTGACCTAAGGCCATGCCTACACTTCATCCATGTAAACACCATCCACATCAATGGAGTCACTGCTAATTCACACAGGCGATGCAGCATGGCCTAGTGGGTAGCGCACTGGCCTGAAAAACAGCAGACTTGGGTTCTGTTCGTGGCTCTGTCACTGAGTGCGTCCCTGCTCCGCTCCATGCCTCAGTTTCCCCAGGTGTAAAAGGGGGATAATGAAACTGACCTCCTTTGTGAAATGCTTTGAATCTACTGGATGATAAGAGCTAGGGCGTGTGGCTGTTACATCTGGGTCAAGCCAAGCCATCCGACCCTAAATCCTCCCAGCCCTTCTAACAGCTGGGATTCTACATCGGCGTGAACCCAGCCCAGAGAGGTTAAGTGACTCTCAGAGGGGAAGAAGGGAAGTAATGATCTCTCCCTCTGGGAATGTTTTATTGTTTCTGAAAAGGCTCTTTTGAAACCTGAAGTTGTTCCAAGTTCTAGAGGCTGCCAATTTTTACTTTATTTTATTTTGGGGCTCATTGATTACTTGATGCAAACAGAGATTGCTGTGATTTCATTAAGGGTGTGGTAAGGTTACTCTTCTTGTAAAAATTGCTTCATGATGTTAGGTCATAAAAATAACAATTCTGGCATGTAACAGTTCATCTTTTATCCTGCATGATCTCCGGGTAATGGATATACTTGGATTGCTTCACTCGCCGGTGCGCTGGGGCCATGTCTGGGGTGGAACATGGCAGCTATTTAACAGCATGCACTCAACCCGCACGGAAATGCAGCCACTTCTGGGGTGGGCCATGTCAACACTTTGGCAGCTCACAGCAACGCTATGCTTCACAGCAATTCAGTGGAAGTGAAGGAAAATATTCCACCTCAACAAAACTCCAGGGGTAATGTTAGGGAAGCCGGTACAGCCACCACGACTGGAATTTGTGAAAAGGGCTATTGGATACCGAGTAGCCAGAAGCACTAAGGGTCTTGTTTTACATCTCATCTGCACCATGGAACCTGTAGTAGCCCAGCGCCCCCTAGCATCAAGCGGGGAGTTGGGGTCAGCACTGAGACATAGGGAAGAGTGCTCCCTACTGAGTCACCCACCCGCCTCCCTGCTGCACAGCGCCCCCTAGCGCCTCTGGGCTCGTGTACAATGAAGCCACGCCCCAGAACTAAGACTAACGTCCAGGACGAAAACCCGAGCACTTTTCCATCTTCAAAGCACTTTCCAGACATGATTACATGAACCCTTTAAGCCCTGCGAGGTAGGGAAATAGAACCACCCCCATTTTACAGATGGGGGAAACTGAGGCAGAGAGCGGTCAAGGCCCAGATTTTCAGAAGCATCCTCTTACCTTGAGGGCTGAGCCCGAGACACCCAGGGCCCGATTTTGTGATGTACATTGAGCTGAAGGGGCTCAGCACCTTGGATAAAACAGGTCTCTAACCCTGGGCACCCTACAAAAATAAGGGCCTGATTCTTGGTTACACCAAGGCCTCTTAAACCAGCTAAAGGGGCCTTAAAATGGGTATAAGTGAAGTCAACAGAGTACAGCAAAGGGGCCTCAGTGCTCCTTCCCCAACGCAACAACCTCTTTGCATGTCCAGGGCTTGTCTGCACAGGGAAATGGACTGGAATAGAGCTCCTAGTCCAGAATAAATGTGATTTTAGTCCAGGATAATTCTGCGCTTTGGAAGTGAATTAAACTAACCCAAATTAAGGCTGCTTTTATTCTGAATAAGAGTGTCTACAGCGGGGCTTAATCTGGTTTAAATGTACACCTTTGGTTAATCCACTTGAATTCCCCGCAGCAGATAGGGCTATGGGGCAGACACTGGCTGAGATTCTGTGACCTGTGTTATGGCATTGCCAAGTCTCCGGATAGTTGTAGCTCTTCTTAAATCCCCAGCCCCTGGAGTCCTGTGATAACGTGAGACTCAGGCCTGATCTACACTCAAAACTTAGGTCGACCTACGTAACCCCTAGTGTAGACACAGCGAGGTCAATAGAAGAATGCTTCTGTCAACTTAGCTACCATCACTCGGGGAGGCAGGAAAACCCCTTCCATCACCGTAGTCTGCATCTACGTGTCCCTCCATTGTGACTCTCAACCCCCACCCTGCTCTTCCAGTCTTGGGCTCCCCCCCTACAGCTCTGCCGATGCCCCTCAATTCTGGCCCGCATCCCTCCCTGCTCTTCCAGCCCTGGGGCCTCTCCTGAGCATAGAAACCATGCCAAAGGCTGAGAACTAGCCCCTGAACCCAGGGGGCTGCAAGGCCTTTGCACAAGCGCCACACAAGCGGGGCAGACCCCCAGTGCAGAGGGGAGTCTCAAGGTATCACCTGCTTTGCAGCTCCCGGACGCCGCCAGAGGGGTGTGATTCTGATTGAGAACCAGGCTCGCTGCGTCTGGAGATCTAAGAGACGGACACTGTTGTAACCTCTGGGGAACAGCCCCCTCTAGCCTGACCAGGACTTCGGGTCACCAGGACAGAGGCTGTCCCCTGGAGAATCGGTCCCGGATCTTGCCTTGAGCCCAGTGCATGCATTGGGCCGCACCGTGGGGATGCCCATGCAGCGCAGACGGGATCAGAGACGCTCCGGTTCGCGTCTCGGTGCTAGGAGTTAAGGCGCTCCCTAGAACATCACGGGCGTCCTCTCACATCCTGCCTCCGGGGGGCTACATGAAGCGAGTTCGCTGGGTCTCAGCCCTGTGGGCCATGTGACATGAACGTGTGGGATTGCAGCCTGGGTCAGGGGATCTCAGCCCCTGGGGGGCAGAACACATGGTGTCAGGGGGTCACAACCCGCCTGCTCTTCCCCCATGGCTAAGGAGAAGGGGGATGCCAGCTAGATGGGGCGGGGGGGTAGGTACAGAAGAGATGGAGAACTAGTGACCTACATGAAGCAAGTTTGCTGGGTCTCAGCTCGGTTCCTCAAGTGTCCCTGGGCCTGCTAAGAATGGTACCATCCCCTTGTTAGCTGCCTCGGCAGATGGATGGGGGCTCCGCAGAGCTGGGACCTGGGAGCTGGGGAAAAGCCATGCAGTTTCTGCCTTTGCCCCCCTTATTACAGTGAGTAACCGAGGACTCCAGAGCTGCCAACATGGGGGCTCCCACCAGCACAAAACCCACTTAACAGATGCACCGAAGAGGACCCCAGCTAGGTCCCTAGACTTCCCCCTGGTCCCCTGGACTCCTGACCCCAGATGGAGAATGGGATGGGGGCGGGCGGGCTCGGGAATGTAGAATCTCCCCCTGTACACACACAGCCTGCAGCCGATGACAGGACTAGATCCAGCTTCTCCGAGTGCAAGATGCGCACCGCCCACACCGGCGCCCCTGCTCCGGGAGCTGGCCCCACTCCAGACGCCTCCAAGAGGCTG